CCAAGCTAGAATCCCTAAACCCAACGGCACGACGGAAACGTTTAACCAAAGGAATGGCACGAGGAAGGCGCATGATTGTCAAAAGACACGTCCTGGTGGGTAATTGACCTTGTGCTCCACCGTACGAGGCACATGTCTTGCTCCTAAGGGGTTAGTGGGGTTATGTGGGTTCTACGCACGCCTCCCATACATTCAACCGCTGAGAAATCGCCACTCGGAGCTCCCTTGAGACGGGATCCATGCCGGAGACAGGGAATAGCAATGAGAGAAGCGCTGAAGCCGGAGAAAAGAACGCGCCAAAACAGGCTGAACCCCTTTAACCCCCAAAGCCAAAATCCCAATACCTCAACCCAAGATTGTGGACCCCTTATATAGTCCATTGTTTGCAGGCCCCCTGAACCCTGACAAACTCTTACCCCAACCCTAAACCCTAAACCCCAATCCCTACACCTTTGTCACCTTGGTCCCTCAACGCCAAACCCTACTCCCTAAACCCTAATCCCTCTACAAAAGGTCGCCTCGCTTGCCACACAGCTCGAGGAGGCCGCTGCGGCACGCAGCGAGCTGGAGGCAGAGGTCTGCGACCCTTGGTGGAGCTTCTGGGTTTAGGGTTCAGGGTTTAGGGTTCTTGGTGGAGCTTCTCATGTTATCCCTTAAAGTTTGTAGGATTTAGGGCTCAGAGCTTAGGGTTTAGGGCTTAATCATGGCTTAATCCCTGCAAGATTAGGATTTAGGGTTCAGTGTTCTGGGTTTAGGGCTGAAAGCTTGGGATTAGGGTTTCAGGTTGGCTTAGATTTCAAGCCTTGCCCAGAAAGGGGACTTAGTAGGGAGGTCATGTAGGGATTTCTAAGGCTCGCTGCCGGCTGTAGGTGATGCATACGCATTATGGAACTAGAGTTGAGGGCCCACTGGGAGGAAGCCTAGTACCGAAAGGAGTTGGGGATATGGAGAAGTTGAAGGGCTCTGTGGCTCCCGTCTTTCATACGACAAGCGACATTATGTATTGCCCGTGCTTGTAATTCGAATTTGGGAATTGGGGTGTCCTGTCATCAGGGAATTGCTTCATGGCTGTAACGTGCACGATCATTCTCAGATGTAGTGGCGTGGGGCCTCAGGATTATTATCATGGAGGTTTTGGGCCGATGGTTTCAGACGGTTGATGGACCAAAAGGCGGGTGTTTGGGCCGAATTTGAAGAAATTAGTTTGGAGGAAGTAGGCTTCTGTGCAAGTGTCAGCACTCAAGTATTTCTAGTTTGGGGTTTACTGCTAGAGCGAAGTGAGAGGTGTGCATACTCAAAAAGTTTGCTTCGCGCCGCCCTGAAACCTCAAAACTGGCGATGAAGAGGGTGTGCAGCACCTTTGCTTGTTCTACAGATGATGAGTCTGAAGAGGTCAGCAGGTTCTTGTTGAGCAGCTGCTTGGTCCATTCCTTGCAGCGTGTACCGTCACACTACCCTACATTCCTCCCAGAATCCTGATCCTTATTCTTGCGACCCTTTTTCTGTGCGGTGATCGGTCAGATTGATCTTGATTGTTTCGGCGAGACTGGGGGTGTTCTTAGTATAGACATGCTCGTCATCACTTGCTGCAGTGTTTCTTCATTGGCTGATCTTACCCTTGCTACTATGGCCCTAGTCCCGCCCAGACTTAGAAACCAGTTTGTATAAGTCGTCGCTGCATAGCACATAGTTGTATTGCTACCACCATTGGCATTGCATTTAACAGCTAGTACGGCTACCATGACGGGAGTCCTCTTTTTCATTCACGTTCGGTGACAATTACAACAATGGGGTCGATCATTTGATACTTCATGAAAAGTATAAGCATAGCAGTCTTGTGCCATGTTTGTGAAGATGTTGACAACCTGCATCCTTGTTATTCTTAGCGCTCTTGAGTGTACCATGCGCATATTGCTATGAGCTTGGAGAGGTCAACTCACATCAGTTTAGGTATGCCGGTTATACTATGAGTGCCAACGTCTTGCTCCCATCTGCTACTCTCCTGCTCCTGTTACAAAACACTCCTATCACTGATGACAGTGGTGATGGCGGGTGTGACCATTTTGGCAATTTTGGCATTTGCACAATTCAATTGAGTTTTTTTCTTCACAGGCACTTTGCGGCGAAAAGCTTGCAGAAACAGAAGTAATCAGCTCTCAACTGCAGGCCTAACTTTGACACCCCCTAGTCCCTAAAAGCTAATCCCCAAACGCGCCCCATTCCCGAATTTCCCTTGCTAATCCGAAATCCTCAATTCCCCTAAAACCTTCCTGTACACTTTCTGCATTTCTCAAATACCAAGCCTAGGTAGGAAAGCATGCAAGCTAAGCTGAGGGCGTAGCTTGAAGGCATAACAAATTTTCTTTACCCCCGTAGATGCAAAACCATGTGTATGCATATACATATATATATATGTGATACGTACATGTATGTATGCAGAACTCCTTGTCTTGTTTCTGGAGTTCTAGCATCCACCTAGTAGCAGGTCGCAGACTCCAAACAACGTGCGGAGCGCTCTGAGGAGCTTTGCGGAAAGCTCGAGGCTCCAACTCTTTGGCCTTTGCGGAGATTTTGCAGGGCTTAGGCCTTAAGAAATAAACTTGGTCAGGGCTTCAGGTGAAAGTTTTGAAGTTTGGGATTTACAGGGGCTCAGAGCACAGGTAGGATTTAGGAGCGTACGGCCCAGGGTTAGGGAGCACAGGGTGTAGGATTTAGGACCTTGGCTTAGGTCTTCGGGGTTTGGGCTCAAGGATCTGGAGCTTGAGGCCAAAGGCCAATTTTGGAGCGTAGGGCTTCGGAATAAGGATTTGGGAGCAAAGGGCTCAATCTCTAGGAATTTAGGGGTAAGGGATGAGGGGGTTGATGAAGGTTCCGGTTTAGGAACGAGAGATTTTAGTTTGGTTTGTGGGAGTAGGGTTTTTGGATGGATAGGCTTAGGGCACCTGACCGCGTGCAAAGCTGCTCTGGGTTGTTGTACTTATGCAGGATGGGTTGAAGGTTTAGACTTTAGGGTTTAGGGTTTAGGGAGAAGTGGACATTCTGGTTGACAGCTTCAGTACGCCGATCCATCTTTAGAGATATTCGGTGGAGTTGGGGGGATGGGATTTTGGTGGGACATTATGCCTGGAGGTTCATCGGCGGGGACACAGGACCCCCGGCTACTGTACATCTACCATTTGATTTCTGGACACCATGGACAAGTCCCCAGGAAGCTTCAAGTAGACACCAAGCCCTAAATCCCAGACCTACAGCCTTCCCCAAACCTTAACCCTAAGGCTCCATGTAGCCCAATGTAGGTACTATTCATAGATTTTGGGGCCCAACGTAGGTATTGCTTACAAGCATGGAGCCTCAGGGTAAGTCATTCTCGAGACATTCTCCAGGCTTCGTAGCGATTTTGGTGGACTGTCTTTCAGGCCTTGGTGGCCGAAAAGGAGGCAGAAATCGAGCGCCTACGAAAGGCAGGAACGTCAAACCCTGCATTTGGATTTAGGGCTTGTGGTCATGGGTTGAGGGCTTGGGGTTGGGGGCCGTTGAGGTCGTCGTAGGCAATTTGGGGATATTCGAGTTGAGTGGAATTCTGGGTTAGGGTTGAGGCATGGGGTTGATTACGGGTTGGTGCCCAGGGCTTCTCCATTCTTCTCTTCAGACCTGACCTCAATGGTGCTACCCGTAACACGACTTCAAGAGCAGGAGCTCAGGAAGGAATAGTCATCGCGGCTCAGATCCTCACAAGTCTTGTTCATGTACAATCTGGCCCTCCGCCCCCATACAAGGGCGGGCTTCCAAGATATCAGCCGAACAGAAGTCCCCCAGGTTCCCATACGACTACGACTGTTCTGAGCTGTTTTGCTTCCAGCAACTGTGACCCTACATATTGTGTGCCAAGAATGCAGTGGCTAGGCCCTATCAAGTCTTTCTTGTAACTTTGGGATCATTATGCTTTCTGCCTACTACCATCTTTCGATGCGTGCGTAGGCAACATCATTCTGATATCAGGCTTACTCTCAAACATGACATTGATTCTATTATCATGGTTCGTAACCTTGGATGGGGGGACCTAAAAGTGGGGTTCCTTCTTCGGGCTTCAGAAAGAAGAACTCTAATTGTTGGGTGCATACATGGGACCCTTTTTTTTTGAAGACTCCGAAATCATGGCTCCAAACCCTGAACCTTAAACCTTTGTGCACTAGGGGTTAGAAGACCAGCAGAAGCTGACCCAAGAGGTTTGCGAGGCCTGGTGCATTCTTTTGTGGTTGAATTGGGAGAAGCTGATTAATGTTCAGTAGAGAATGGGGAAATGCAATATAATTCCCAATCTTGGTCCCTCGCTTCCGTTCCTTCATTCCCTAGCCGTACCAAACCTCAAACATTCCAGGTTCAGGAAAGACAAAGTGTTCCGGATTGAGTAGGGTTTCCAGTCAGGTCTTCTGAGAGAGCATGGGAAAATTGCGCAGGATTAGACGGCAGAGGTCTTGTGAGGCTTTTTTTGACGAAACATGCAGCAAAGGCCAGAGATAGAGGTGCTATGGAACTGTGTGCAGTTGGTGTAGCCCGGCGCAGGCACTGTACAGGAGGTGGGGCTTATTGCGAGGTTACATGTCCTGAATGGGAGGAGAACAGGGTAGTGAAAACTGGCTGCGGTATGCTCAGTCCGGGTAGGACGTGCCAGACTAGCTAGATAAAGCCCTAAGTCAGCAGCTGCAGATGCCAGGCTGAACTACCTTGGGCCTTTTTGCTACAGATGGGGATTGCAGTAGTCGTCCTGCATGATATCTTTTGATTTGGTCCGTAGAGGCTCAGCCGTGCAAACTCTCGTGAAGAAATCCCCTGCAGAGTCTTGTAATCCCCTCCCCCAACTCACAAAACACATGCACGCCCCAATGATGAACATTCCCATTCTTTTATATTGAATGTGATGATCAACTGCTAGAGGATGTTCTTTTGCATTCGGGGAGGGGAGCACTTAACTTGCGAAGGCTGCAGACCGGAGAGACCAGATGGCCAACGAGCAGAATGCGGCACAGGCATGGTAGCCTTCTTGCAGATAGGTTTTATGTTTGACGGCTGGGCTTAGGGTTTAGGGCAAGGTATTGGGTTTAGGGCTGGGGCGACAGGGACATGCTGGCCTGTTGTGTGAGATATTCTCACCCTGAGACATACAGCCGGAAAACAGCTGCTCTACAGCCCGGAAAAAGGTCAATAAGCTGAGCATTGAGCTGACGGAGCATGTAGCATTTAGGGTGATTAATTAAGGTGATTTTATGTGGAGTTTCCCGTCTGTTGTAGGTTTGGAGTAGAGCGTTTGGGATCATCCAGAGATACAGGTGTTCAGCATAGCAAGAATCATCAGTCTTAATCAAAGGGCTGGTGGCGGGCTTTAGGCTGAAGATCACTGGCAGCTGTGATACCTCTCTAACATCAGCCCTGGGTTTGAGTTGCAAACACAAGATGGGCTTTGACCTTCATGCTCCATGAAACCCTATGCCCCCAAATCATGCGTTAAATCCTCAACCCGCAAAGCCCTACAGAATCCCAAGTGGCACTCCCCCTATCCCCTATGCGCAGCCCTCATCATCCCCACCTATCCCTACGGCTCCTACGGCAAGATTGGGTTGCTGTTACGCCGCTTAAGCTAAGTTGCTAGACGAAGAAAACCCTTTAGTTCACTATATACCCATATTGCGGTTACTTAACTTAAGTTCCTGGCCGGCAACCCAGAAGACTTACCGGATTTTGAGACATCCACCAGGTCCGGGATCTGCAGGAGATGGTCCGTAAGCTGACGCTGGAGAACCAGCAGCTCTTGCAGGCCTGACAGGGTCGAGGGTTTTAAGTGTGTAGGGTGTGTAGGATGTATAGGATGTATAGGGTCTGATAGGGTTGAGGGCGTTGAGAGTATGGGGTGCAAAGGGTGTTCAGGATGTATAGGGTGTGTAGGATGTATAGGGTGTGTAGGATGCATAGTAGTATAGGGTGTATGTTATGTATGGAGTGTACAGGGTTTAGGGTTTAGTGAGGCATGTTCTTTCTGGCTAAGGATGTACGGAAGGCTTAGCAGGTAGTAGTTGGGACTCAGGGAGCAAAAGAAGGATTCAGGATGCTATGCTTCCGGATCGATGGCTAGCAGTGGTATTATATTATACTATAGTAAACTGTACTATGATATACTAGATTATGCTACGTTATTGTATACTGGAGGTTCTTGGTATCTTTTGTGGCTCTGAGCAGCACACAAGACAGGAGTCTATACAGCTGTCGTCCCGGAATCCGGGTTCAAGGGGGGTAAGCGGCTTGACAAGCAGACCTCGAATAAACAAAATCCTTTCACCATGAGAGCTATTGTCTAAACTCCTTAAAGGGATTATATAGGAGATTTATATGGCGAGTTTATAGGGGCTATTAGCGGGAATACTTGGAGTATTTAGGCTATAGCTCATAATGTGTTGAGCAAGGACTCATGATACCAAGATCACAACAGCCACCCATCAATCTTTGGAATCAGATTCTACTCGCAATCCTGGTTATAGGGTTTAGGGTTTAGGCTATGGCCTGCCAAAGCCAGGGTTCAGTGCACGAGAAGACAAAGAAATGGTTTAAACAAGTCATGACCCATAAGTCCACAGCTTTGGCAGGCATCACCCGAGGACCAGTGCCAATTGAGTAGTATTTCATTTGGATTTCTATTATCCCGAACATATAAGGCTAAGTCCTCCTGCCTGGTATAGTCTGTTACAACGATATGAGTAAGAAGAAAGCATCCCTCAACTTGGGCTTCTTGAGCGTCGTATCAGCTGTAGTCTACAGGCTTTAAAGGGGGTTTTATGGGGGTTATTTCGGGGGTTAATCAGGGGCATACTAGGAGTTTAAGCTCATATGGGCATGTCAGGAGCAGCAAGTGCAGGCCAAGCGCCACGAGGACACCCGGGCTGTAAAGGCACAAGGTCGCAGGGTTCTGGAGGTTTAGGGCTTGGGGTTTCTTGCGGTTCTAAAGGGTTGAGGGGTTTTATGTTTACCGCTCTACAGGGGCGCGGAGGGTCGAGGGATAGTTGAGGTTTCGAAGCTTTGTGGTTTGGTGGCTCTGGGTTCAAGATTAGGGATAGGGATACAGTGTCGGGATTACATATCCGTTTCCAGGGTTTGAACGTGATGTGGTTCCCACTTGGACCTATTCAAGGATGTTGTCAACTGAACAAACAGTGCGGCCCGACATATCTGCCCGATGTAAAGAAAAATGTGTTGCTGCCTTCACAGCCGTATCTGGGCACGCTGCCAAAGACAACAAGACAACAGTGATTCACCCTCCAAAGGTGTGACAGGCGGAACTGTGAGGAAGGGTATAGGGTCTGGCGGAACCCTAGGCGGCCTGCGTTTAGCGCGAAGAACAATTTGTTTGCTGCATGCCCGCTGATGAGCCTGCGTCTGGTTTTGCGGGAGCCTGTAGCCATCCTCGTGACTGTCTCGATTATCTTATACAATGTTATATTACATTATACTATATTCTGTTATACTCTATTATAGTATTGTATTATATTATAGGGGCTGATGCCTCCTAGGGTTTTACTCTTTGGCTGTGTGTGTCTCGCAAGCTTTGTCTCAGCGCTAAAGCAGTCTCAGGCCTGCAGACACTCACTGGGCCGACTAATATACTGGGTGGCTGTTCAGCAATTTATATTAAGTTTCTATGATAAGGAAGCCCTTTACTTACTGTGTGCCCATATTATGGGAACCTAACTTAAGTTCCTTAACGGCAACCCAGAATAGGCTATGAGCTGGAGATATTCTGCTAGCCGTCCTTGCCAGCCCCCCTTCCCAGGAAATGGCACGGAATGTTGCCGTGGCGATGGCGGCTGCAGAGAAGGACGGGCCCGCAAATCGATTTTGGGGTTGGTGAATCCTAAAAATCACATATTGGTGCAGGACCTATTGCCCATTGGACTATGGAAGATGAGAATTCATGTTTTAGTTACAGCTAAGCTGAACTGGCACCGGCGGGCCTTCCAATTTACTTGGCACTACTGATAAGGCCCCTGTGAAGAGCCAAATCCCCTCTGCTGCTCTCTCGTTCTCTCTCTCTCTCTCTATCTCGCCATCTCCCTCTCCCCCTTCTATTTCTACCAACACGGCAGATCCCGGAAAAGCCAAAGCAACGCCCAAACTATGCATGAAACACTTTCCCGAATAGCTCTAAAGATTTTGCAGCTGTTACGCATCAGACCCAAACCGGGACTCTTTCTGTGATACAGTGGCTTGCCGAAAAATATTGGTACTTTTTTTGGGTGCCGGGGTATATATTGGGGTCCCCTTAGCTGGGGGAAACCACCATACTCTGCCAACAGGCCATGGCCATGCATGCCCAGCATACCTCCCAGCTGGAGACGCTACGCACCGCAAAGCTGGCAGAAGCCATCAACTCTAAGGCTCACTTCGTAGCCTGAGGAGAGAGTCATGTGAGCTACGGACTAAAGGTAGGTTGGGGGGGACCTACAGGGGAATATAAAGGGTTTTGGGGGGACATAAAAAGGAATATACTGGGACTTTGGGCTCAATATTAACATGGATGTTGTGGAGTAGGTGGTAGGACGGCTGGACCAGGAGCAGGATTAAACGGAGTAGGAGTCTTCGGAGTATTGAAAAGCAGCATGAATCAGAATGGCGGGAGCCACTAGGCAATATTGTGGCGAATGTTTCAGTCCCAGCTAGCAGCGGAACGGGCTTGGAGTCTACGGTTGGCTGGTGGTTGTCTTGAAGCGCAGATTATTGCTGTCGGAACGTGTAAGGGCAGAGGCGCGAACATGCATGCTTGAGCATGGCCATGTTGCATACCAACTCCTGATTCTAGACCCTGAAGTGCGCCGCAAGCTTCAGGCATGCTAATGATGTTTGACCGAGTGGTCAAGCAAAGATCTAGTGCCTGTACCGGCTTTACAGCGTCTTATGGGGGGAGGTCATGTAGGTAGACCTCAAAACAATAGATATTAAGTTCCTGTGTCAGGACAGCGCCATAACGCCCTCGTAGCCCATATGTATATTTGGCCCTCCCCATTCTGAGAAACACATCTATTTCAACAGTTTCCCTCTTCACCAGCTGACGTGATCTCTTGCCAAGCTGCAGGTGGAACTGCACATTGCCGTGCCCAAGGTTACGCTAAGTGCGCTTGGCTTGTTTGTTGCCTGTGGGCCCTGCTCGGCTTTAAGTTGCTCAGAGGATTCTGCTTAGCAAATGGCATTGTATGGAGGGCTTTTGGACCCGGAGGCCTCTGTGGGGGATGTTCGAATTCTGGGATTTTCCGTTCGTGTGATACTGGGCTTTAATTGTTCGGAGTTCTTCACAAGTTGTGTCCAACAAATGCCTCTTCGCTGCAAATCCTTACTTTCGGTGCTGACTGCGCAACATGTCTCTTCCGGAAGAAAAGCGCAACAACAATTATTACTAGAAGCTGGCAGCTTTGGTGCAGAAGTTTGACGACAAGCAGCATGGCAAACGGTTTACCCGAAAGCAGTTCAGCTCCCAAAGGGGATTTCCTGAGGCACCCTGCGCTAGAAAACATGTGCCCGGCAGCTCCTTCCAAGGCGTATGGGAAATCCCTTTACAGAGAGTTCCATCCTCAAATAGACCCCTTCTCTCCAAGGGATCCTGCGTACCCCTATAGTAATCGGCGCCTGTCCATGCTGCAAACGGGGAAGCTCATTGAAGACTGACGATCTTTGGACACCTATGGAACTGACCAATGAACAGTCTTTGTGCCACTACACATTAGAACGACCCAACTAAGTGCCAAACCCTAAGCGATCTTGGAGCGAAATCCTGCTTCCGCGCAGCTTGAAACCTTTGAGGTTTTGGCTCCAGATTTTCAATAAACTTCGCCATATTGAAGCCGTCCACGGGAGTGGAGGGTGGTTGAGATGGCAGTTCGCATGCAACTGTGCCTTTGTGCAGCTTTCGCGGCTTGCTGGCTTAAGCAGTTGCAGGGGAGGGAACATAGGTATCATTTTGCAGGGGATTACACAGAGATGCTTTTATGGGGGGATAAGTGTTACATAGGGCTGAGTCTAGACATTGACTTAAAAATCTGTAACATGCTTGTGAGGCCATGCTCGCTCATGGAGATCAGGCTATCAGTGGTGGTGGCATCTTCATGATGCTGGGCAATTGCTGATTTAGGTCTAACAAGGTCTAACATGGAACCTTGCTTAAAGCTTAAAGGGCCTTCCTTCTATGGATAGCTATATCCTCCCCAAACTAACGTGGACCGCTGGGAAGACATCCTTTCAAAGGATAGTAGTCTACATCGGCCCCCTTTCTGTGTTACGCCAGGACCTTGCCATGAAAGCTTAAGCCTCTGGCGAGTGAAGGTTATTGTTGCTTTGCCGAATGGCTGGACTAGTTTTTGACAAGCACGCTGAACCCTCGTCTCTAATCCCAAAACACATTCAGGCTGCGTGTAGCATGGTTCTACAGGGTGAGTACATTCATGCAAGTTGCTCAAGCGGGCGTCCAAAAAAGATCGCACCTTCTGGCAATCTTAACAGATAGGAACGAATCATGCAGGAAGGTATGTAAGGCCACCCTGATTTTGAAAAAAGCCCTTCTTGATCGAGGAAGATACAGGGGCAGAGTGGTAAGATGACCTTCGCCACATCCGAGCCTGTCGGATCAGCAGAGGACCCTGGGCCCTTTCGGAAGGGGATAGAGATCAAAAAGTTAAATGATAAGGATCAAAAAGAAGTTAAATCCAGGAACTAGAGCTCTCGCGTGTATCTTCTAATTTTGATTGATCCTTGTTTAATTTTGTTGGTCCCCCTTGGGACATCAAGCTCCCGCATGGAGCTTCCTCGAATTCTATCCTGAAATGGCAGTTGCCAAAAAAAAAAAAAGGACCCCAATATAGACACCAAAATACTATAATCTTTATTTCGGGACCCCCAAAATGGTACCCCCAGTTTCAGGAAACCCTCAAATAAAGCTGGGGCGTGGAGCCTCCTCATATTTGGCTCGGAATTGAGCTCCCAAAAGGAGCGTCGGCGAATTCCAGTGCCAAATCCAAAACGAGGGATTGTTCATCATGTTGCGTGTTTTTCATCATTGTCGTCAGTTTACATAAGTTTTTCAATGTTTTCATCATTTTCACCATACTCAGTATCATTTTCATGATATTGCATGACTTTTTAAACCAATTTGCTATTTGTTCATTGTTTGTCAGAGTTGCTTCATCATTTTCACGATGTTCCGCCATTCGGAAATTTTCGTCATTGTTCATCATGTTCATCATGGTTATCGCTGTCATGATTTTCATTATTTTCATGACTTTTCATGACTCTTCATCATGTTCACAAACTTCATTCATGGCTCTTCATCATGCTCATCATTGTTGATCATGTTCATCCCCTTCTCATCATGACACACAATATGACACATCAAAAGCGGCGGAAAAAAAATGTCCTGATCTTTTTCCAAGGGTTGCAATTGGGGGGCGGGGTGGCTGCGCCCCCCCAACCCCTCCGCTGCTTTATTGCTCTATGAATCACATTCGCGCAAGCATCTGTCATCATGTTCCCTTCCTTCACCAAGAGTGTTCATCAATTCCTCTGTGTTGATTCATCAATTTGCTATTTGCACACATTCCATCATTTTCATGTATATTTTCAATTTTCTCATGTTTTTCATTATTCTTGACTGTTTGCTCATGATTTCTCAGTGTTTTTGTAACCGTTCCTGATCAGGCTTCCCGTTTTCATGTTGTTAATGGTTTTTCTTGTTCATCATGTTCATGATTTTCAATATGTTTCATTACTTCAACTTCCATTGTTTTCATGATGTTCCATTATTTCCATCATTGCACATCATGTTCATCATTCTCATCATTTCCATCATGTATCATCAGTTTCACATGTTCCGTCAATAACGTGAGGTTCATAACCCTAAACCCTAAACCCTAGAAACCCTAACCCTAAACTGCACTATGCGTAATGATTTCTCATCATCTTTCAGCTAAAGAACCGAAAGCTGGAGATTGCAGTGAACAAGGTTTAGGGTTTAGGGTTTTGTGATGGATACTAGTTGGCCAACGTGGTGAAGTGCAATCTTGCAATTCTTGTTTCTCCTGTCATTATTTCATTCAATCGATTCAATCTTTTGTGGGTTCGGAGGGCGTGCTCGAGATACCAAAAGCCAAAAGACAATTTGTTCAGCTTTCTCAGCTGTGATACACTCTGTATGACAGACTGAACTAACATCTTCACTATTTTCAGTATGCTTCAAAATTTTCATCATTTTCGGGAACTTCATCATCTGCATCAATTTCACGATTTTACATACTTCGTAGCTGCTCATGATTTGTCATTTGTTTGATCATTTGCCGAGGTGTTCATGATTTTCCTGTTTTTTCATCGCTTAATTTGTTGATCCTTGTGTATCTTGCTGATCCTCCGAAGCATGCCATTTGCAATGTTTAGGCACCGAAATCCTCAATTTTAACTTTTGTTGACCCTTAACAATATTTGATACGAATTTCACTTGGTTGATCCTTGTTATATATTTGTTGATCCCTCACCCTTCTGGAACAGCTACGATTTGTAGGGTTCACTACAGAGAGGGGATGCATCTTGACTCACATAAGTTTCGGGCCCAGGGTTCAGGGTTGAGGGTGTAAGATCCCTAAAACCTAAACCCTAAACCCTTTGGGGCTCAGGGTTCGAGGCTTGAGGTGTAGGGCCTGTCTTGGCTGAAACGGGTTTTGTTTCGGTGAAGATGCGTCCTGACTCCGCAGAAATCCACTTCCTCAAGCACGGTTTAAGGGTTTCGGGTTTAAGGTTTAGGGCTTGTATACAGTTTTAGGCCACATACTGGGGTAATACTGGGATCATATTGGGGTGATATTGGGCACTGGAAAATACAATGGAAACTACTATTTAGGGTTTAGGGTTTAGGATGATCGCTTTAATTCAAAGGACCGCTGTTCATTTTTGGTCCATGTGGAGACCTATGGGGCTTTCGTTTCAGGATATAGCAAAACAAAAATGCCCGAAACCTTAAACCCTAGCAACCCGTAGACCTGCTGAAGGACTAGGCAGGGGAAATCCGAGATATGACCAAGTAACATCCAAGAGTCCCTTACAAGTACAAGTATAGAGAACACCAGTGTTTCGTAGCATACTTACTAACCCCTAAACCATAAAATCCATGCATCATCTCAGCTCCATTCCATTTTCCATTTTTCCAAGTAGCAAGACCCTAAAGCCTAAACCCTGAACCTCTAAATCCAAGACCTCCGAACCCTAAACCCCCTAACCTTCAACCCCTTAACCCCAGACCCCGCGAGCCCTAAACCCCTTGACCCTAGAACCCTAGACCCCTACCTGGTAAAGGATAGGGTGCAGATCCAGATGGCGCGCCTTCAGGAACTTTCAGCGGATGGCACTGTTGCTGGAGGGTTTCGGAGTTTAGGAGTTTAGGGTTTAGAGTGTGGTGCAAGTTGTTTTACTGCACTTAAGGTTTAGGGCATTAAAACTTACAATAGTGGAGAATCTCACCGAACAGAAAATGGAATATGACATGGAAATGGGGATGATACAAAGATTCCGGGTTAAGCTTCATTAGGAACCTGATTTTCCGAGAGTCTAAATTTGTCTGAATGATCATGTATACTACATCCGAATGAGTTTCCTCCTCCCAGGACCTGTTCGTGGTTATTCTGAATCCTAAACCCTGCTTGGGACTTAGCTTGGACCTTAGACCCTTAACCCTTTGGGATTCCCTTATATTCTTATTATAGGTAATTAAGGGTTAACCCTTACTAGGGGTCCTAAATGCCACGTAGAACCCGAAGCCCTAAAGCCTAAACCCTAAACTGTTGTTCCCAGGTTGTCGGCGGTGGTGGCAGCGCGAAGCACTCCTTCAACAGTTTCGCGACACAATCATTCACCTTCGGATCTCCAATGGCAAGTACCATCGCAGGAGTAGAAAGGGACGTTGCTGCAGCCAACGGTCTTGTCCCAGACAGCCCAGATGGAGGCTACACGGCAAGAGACTACAATGTAACGAAGGTGTCCTTCACAAGCTATCTGGGAAGTGGCAATGCAGCTACAGACTCGAAGCTGGAGATTGAGTCCATCATCTTTAGGGAGAATGCCGTCTTGAAGTTTGAGAACCCTGATGCTGGGTTGTTGTTGAACAGCATTGTTGAGTTTCTAACGTATACCTGACACCGATACAGATTGAACGAGAGCTTGAAAATCATGCCCTCACTATTCAAGGATGGTTCGTTCATATATCCTGGAGTTTCACAAGGGACTGTGAAGTTCAATGTGAAGATGAGCCAGTGGAACTGGTGCGAAGACAACTGCAAATCTGCCAATGGAGTAGGTGATTCTGTGCGATTGACAATCGAGATGATCAACCAGGTCTCCGAGTCCTCTTCCAGTTCTACCAACACCACCACAAGCATCACGGCAGACACCTCCAATTCCTCGACTAACTCCACGAGGCGTCTCAGTGGCTGTACAAGTGGGTCCTGCGAGAATGGAGCTGTAGAGGATTTGGGTGGCGTGTTCCTAGATTGCCAATACAAAGCTTCTTTTCCCTATCTTGGGTCCTCGGTTCCTTATACTAGATTCTACTAAACTTTGGGGCCTGTTTTTGTTCTAGGTTAGTGGGAATGCTAGGTTCTTGTCCGTGCTCAACACGTACATGGTCCAGGACCAGAATGGCACCGTGACACAGCTTACCCTACCAAAGAACCCCGTCCTTACCTTTGATCCGCCTATTGGGACTCCAGGTGCAACCCAGCGTACCACGACCCTCGTGCTGGAGTTCCCACGTGCCAATTTCACCTCTAACGACGTGCTCATTTATGACCCGCTGGTGAGTTACTCAAACATCCAGGAGGAAAGTAGTGAGGAAGCCGACACCACAACCAGCGATAACGGTACAACAGGAGCTACTACCACAAACGAGCAAGTGAACCATGCAGGTAAAACCTATTACGTGCAGCTGGGTAGCTTGTGCGTTCTGATGTCTCTGTGTTTCCGACCCCTAGTGATGTGCGTAGTGACGTAGTGCATGTGAAGCCACAAGCTTGCTTGGCATGGTACTACAGCGATGTTTTACGCCGGCATTTGTTACATATTTTGAAAGTTGAGCTGGCTACAGCTTGCGAGAACTCACATAAAAGCCAGTAGCGAGTAGTGTATAGAAACATGCACAACGAGGGAGGCAGAAGGATTGGCTCCTACCACGCCATTCTATACACTTGTCTGGTTGCTGTTAAGGCGCTTAAACTAAGGTACACTAGCAACTTATATACTATATACCCAGAATGGCTAATTTCATTGAAGTTACGTAACAGCAACGCAGCTGTCTTCCGAAAGACAGGGATGACGGCCCGTTAGCGGCATAAGCACGGGCTCGATGCCCCTGTGATCGGTGGACCATTGGCACACGGAGCAGGAAAAGTGTCTCTGTGGATGCAAGTAGCTGCGGGAGCTTCTAAACCAGGACCCTCCTTGTACCCTTAGTTGGGGATATATGGTCCCTAATAGTAGGTACTTAGGCCCTAATAATAGAGGGTAGGAGGAGGGTCTAGGAACTTAGTTGACCAGTGTTGGCCATCCTTTCTGGACTCTTTCTAGAAGGTTTCCCTTGATGTTAGTGCCGAAACCTTTAGACTTGAAACTCTATAAACTCTAAAGCCTAAAGCAAGCCTAAACGTAAAACTCCAAAGCCCAAGCCCTACGCGTGCAAGCTCCTAATCTTTCTGAGCCATAGTCTAAGCCCGTAGTACACCCTTAAATCACCCATATAGCAGTCCCCTATACAAAATACCCCATATAACCCCCTTCAAGGAGTTTAGACTATAGCTCTTATGCTTTTGGCAGCCTACAACAACGCCCCGCCGCTGTTGGTCTCCGTGGCCGCGGGCCTGGGTGAAGGGTCCTCGCCTTGGCTTTTGGGCAGTCCGAGATCATTTGGGGGTTTCACAAATTAGGGTTTGAGGGTTTAGGGTTTAGGGGGACCTTTTTTGGCGGGGGGGTCCCATAACAGGGATTATAGTATTTGGGGGTATATATTGGGGTACCCCTAATTAGCGAAACTACCATTTATGCTCCTCTCAGGGTCCAGCACACAATAGTGATATACGATGGGCTGGTATATTATTAATCGTTGTTTAGGCTTTGGAGAATACGTAGATTGTACACTTTGGACCCCTGGGGTCCTGATCAATGCCGTCACCTCCCTTACAGAGAGTATAGAAGGGATTCATAAAGTTGAGCCCTCGAGCATTTAAAGACTGACCTACTTATAGAACAGAGGTTAATTTATAGAACGGAGCTGGCATGCTCCTATGCCTTAACGCTCCGTGCAAGCTGGGGAGATATGTGGGTGCTGTGCTGACTCAAACTGGCTGGACAGTCTCCTTACCAACTGTCCAGATGACATCGTCATTCCAAGGCAACCGGACGTGTCTCATGAAAAACAAAAACCCATACGTGTGGATCATCGGGGAGTCGGTACCCCTCGAAGACAAAAAAACCTTCCCGCTGTCACTAGCTTTCCGACTTGCCGTGGATGATACCAACAGTATGTGGGACTGCTTAAGCAGCTCATATCTAATAGGCAGTTGAAGGTAAAGGTGGCTAGGAGTCTCCAGACCCTGCACATAGGACATGAAGTCTTGTATCCACTGTAGTAGATCCTTAGGCCTTTTTAGGGGGATTCTAAGGACTCTTTAGGGTACATATAGGGTATGTAGTATAAGTAGGCATATAAGGAGCCCAGGTTTAAGGCCCCATACTACGGGCCCATAGTTTCAACCTTAGGGTTTAGCTGCTTGCAATTGTCCTGTGAGGCAACGGATTCTGCAGGATCCCTAAGCCCTAAACCCTAAAAAGTAGTTTCCATTTTCTTTTCCATTATCCCTATATGATCCCTCTATATACTCTGTAATCCCTATGAACCCCCCAAACATGGTAGTTTCCATTTTCTTTTCCATCATTCCTATATAACCCTAAACGCAACTGAGTAGCATTTAATTTGGGGATACTATAGTACCCAATATAGAGTAAGATGATATTCTCCTTTTGGGGTATAGTATTATATATATATATATCAGGAATATAATCTTACTGGGTTCAACCACCAAGAAAATCCAACTCAACTGACTACCACGCTTTGTTTTATCATTCTTGGCCTTGTTACAGGAAGCTAGAGACATTCCTCAACAAGGACCGCGCCCAACAGATGTAACTGAAGGGAGAGGGTTTAGGGTTTAGGGTTGGATATTCTGATTGCAGTCGAACACATAGAATTTCTTCTTGCAAGGGCCTAGCTCTGAATTTTAGAAATCAGAAGCAACTGGTCAAGACCTGAGGTATCGCAAGGTATCCTTGCTGCAGCTCGTGCGAATATGGGGGTTTCCCAAAATTAGGGATGCTTTTTTGGGGCTCCCCATATTCAGGATTATAGTGCTTTGGGGCCTATATTGGGGTCTCACTACTTTGGGAAACTACCAAATTACACTGGATGGTGCAGTGATAACGCTTTGGTCCAGCTAACAAGAAGCCAGGGCCAACAACAGCGCAGCAGGAGTGTGCAGTAGTCTTGAGTTGGCCATTTTGCAGCAATGTCAGACACAACAGGTAGTGATAGCAATAGTTCCTCGGGGAACTTAGGACTTTTTCATGCAACACTAAATGGGAATAGGCGCGCTGTCAACTTAAGATTGTGGACTTTGTACGCAGCTACTCTTGAATGGCTACCGATTTGCATCATGCTTGGCCATTCGCGTCTTCCTGAGCCTCAGGTTTCTTTGCGAGAGGGTCACAGTGGAAGTAATGATGCCTGCGTTACTGTAACAATTTTAAACGTGGTTCCCTGATGGTATTCTTCTGAGTATTCACCATTGTTTGTAGATTTGATCAATGTCATGACCTTTCTTGTATCTTGGTTTCTCTACCCACTTTGTGTTTTTTACTGAAGGGCCTGTAGATCGGGACCCATTTGGTTGGCGAGTACCAGTTTCTTCAAACTGTCTCCATTGTTGCGCTCGAAGGAAGTGTTCCCGCACTTTGAGCCTCTCTGGGTCCGTCTCGACGGGCTTGACAAGGCCTTTGGGGTAGTTGAGGTGGAGGGGGGGGGGCTCGTGCGCTTGAGGTAACTTAGGCAGGTGTGCCAGGAATTGACGGGAAGCCAAAATGCAGCAATTAGCCTGCACCGTGCTTTCACTGAGGGCCGGAACTAGTCCAATGTAGGGAGCTTCTTCGCTCATTGCTTATTTTGATGTCTGTTGTGGCAAGCACATCAGAAAGTTCATCGTCACACTACAGCGCTCAAAAACGCCAGGTAATGGATGCTGCTTGAAAGGATGATTTTGCTTGGAGCTGTCTTGGTAGCTACAGTATCAGTGGGATTGTGGGCCGCAAGTACCCAGTTGAGCTATGGTTCTTCTACTTACTGCTTCCAAACATACTCACAGGAACAACTTTAGTGGCAGTGATGATAGCTGTGGCTGGTTCACTTTGGAACTTGTCTGTGCTTCTGCTTCAATCCAACTGGAACGGGACGTCAGCCCCCTACGCCCGAGTAGGGAAAGTAATTGCCCAAAACTCTTACATATAACCAAACAGACCATTATTCTACATACATGTATATTCGTCTTGGCCCTGGGGGTCGTCCAGATTATTCAAATGAGCCATGCGCCATGCTCCGCAAAAGAGGTTGGGCATCAAGGGCTCACCTGTGGATTTCTTGAACTTCTATAAGGGAGTGTCGTTTAGCTGGCTTGCCTGAGAAGTTTTCCTGTAGCGCTGTCGCACGCTACAGTGCAAAGTCTTAGACTGAGTTACCCTAATATGGGTACTAGTTCCTACATAATCCCCATATAATTAATCCCCTATGTAATCCCCATATAACCCCCATATAACCCCTACATAACCCCAAAGTGTTGCCCCCGTTGCTCCCCGTTTGCACCCCAAGTGCTATTGCGCCGGACCAGAAGATCGACCCACAGAAGACTCCTAGCACGGGGATTTGGGGCCTCCACGGGAACTAAATAGTATTATGTGGTAGTTTCCGCAGCAGTATAGACTCTAATATATTATAACCCTTAATATGGGGACCCACAAAAAAAGGCACCCCTAATTTGGGAAAATCTCATATTTCAGAACGAGTATTAGTTATTCAGCTAGCAGTGACGATGAAAGCGGCCTCTGGGGCCCCTCCGCTACTCAGCAGCATCATTTGTTGTATGTCAGTAGACATACTAAAGGTGAAGTAGCTCATAACTTTCAGCCCGCCGATGTAATGCTAGGGTGCAGGAACGCTAAGAAGACCTCACAGCCTCTCGACCTTTAGACCCTTTCGGGCCCTACTGAATGTAGGAGTCTAGAAATCAGGCGAGACTGAAGGCAGGATTCCGGATTTCAAGAATTCCGCCAGGGGTTGAAGTCGTCATGTTTAGAGCTAGGAAACGCGTTGAGTTCCAGCATCCCCATTCAAGCCCAGAAGCTTACTATACTGGACACTAACATGCTGCGACTCGGTAGGCTTTTGCATGTCATAGAACAAGTCGTAGTGAAAACCGCGATAACCCCTCAAGGGCCCTACATATCAAATCCTGCTCTGACTGTTTGGGCCCCTGTACACTTACTGCAGATCACATCTCGTTGCAGAGACCTTGTCCTGCTCGTGCAATTATTGGTCCAAAAAGTAGACATGAGAATCCATAAAACAGTCCTTACAAACCGTTCCTGCAAATAATGTAGCAGTTTCCATTTTCTTTTGCCGGCGAATCATGGATGAAGCTGTTCGCCAATCCGTCAGGCTCCAGATGGCTCGAGCAAGAAGGCATATTCCACGCGTATGCTGGACAGGCCAGTGCCCATCCTTCTCTACGAAAAGGGTTTCAGTTTAGGGCTCAGTGTTGTAGGTTATCATTGTCTTAAAGGGGTTTAGAGTTCGGGCTCAAGCACCCTACTTGTAACCCCAAAACCGGTCTAGCCTTTGTTCCTGAGCGAGTGCCACGCTGAAAAACAGGGGTGTTGCGGTGGACGTAGCTTTGG